CCCGCCGGTGGGGGTGGGGGTCTGTACTCACGGGGCCCCCGGTGTGGTCACGGATGTAGCCGTAGGCGATGGTTTTGTCGATGGCAAATCCGAAGTCTGCCCGACGGATGTGGCCGACCACTTTGCCATCCCGCCAGACTGCCTCCAGGCCAAACATCGGCACCTTCCTGCACGGAGAAGGCAGAGCTGTCGTCAGCAAAGCCCCACGTTGGGGTCCCATGGGGGAGAGGGGCTTGGGGGGACCAGACCCCAGCTCTGCCCTAGGCCAGCCCCCGTGCCGGGGTTCCCACTGCCCACAGGTTCATTATCCTCCCCGTGCTGATCCCAGGCGCTGGCAAAGCCCCTCCAGCCTGATTTGCAAAACCTCCTGCTGTTCTGGGTGAAACAAGATAAACCCACTCCCTGTCACACCATTTCCAGCTCCCATTAAACATCCAGCAGGGAATTTGCAGTAGGATTTAAATTAGAGATGGAATTAGAGCATGGAAAACAGCCGAGCTGGCTTGCAACTCCACATGCGTGCCCGGGTGCAGGGGCGGGTGGGGATGGCTGAAGGTGCTCGTCCCAGGGCGGCCACGGCACTGGGTGCTGCCCGGTGCCGAGCGGAGCCCGGCAGTGGTACTCACTCCTCGGTGGTGAAGCAGACGAGGCGGCGGAAGATGCCCTTGGCTTTTTGAGCCTCCACAGCCTCCCGGCCCAGGAAGGGGATGCTGGACTTGAGCTTGCAGGTGAAGGCTAAGCCTGATTCTAGCGGGGTATCGTCGGGGCGCAGGTCTGCGTGCCAGTGCCTGTACCCTGCAGAGAGCAAGCATGGGTCACTCAGCCTCTCCCTGCCACGGTAGCAAGCCCAGGGTGAGCAGCATCAGGAGACCAAGACATCACTCCTGCCTCTTGGACACCACTGTTGCCCTCGATTCACTTGGCCCTGGACAAAGCACCCTTGAGAGGAGCCGGTATTGGGGAAGTCTCAGCAAGGAGCACTGGGGCTGGTAGCATCTCTGCCAGGAGCTGCCAGACCTCCAGTCACACTAACCCGCCCTCGCAGCTGGGAAAAACTCATTTGCCCTGGTCCCCCGGGCAGAGGCAAAGCGGAGAGCGCTGCTGTAAGGAAAGCAAGAAACCTTTCTCGATGCTGAGGCTGTCGATGGCTCTGTAGCCGGCGTTGGTAATGCCGTGCCGGGCACCCGCCTGCATCACCGCCTGGTAAACCTTCACGCAGTCCGCCTTGGGCACGTGCAGCTCCCAGCCCATCTCGCCGACGAACGACAACCTCATGGCACGGACCTGCGAAATGCAAGAGGCCAAACACCCCTGCGGACGGAGCCGGGCTGCGCAGCGCGGGAGAG